TAGTTGCTTCATAATATGCTAGTTAGGATGATGCTTTGGAATTTTGTATATTTGCATGTATAATAGTGAAAATATAGATCCAAGGCACATAGGGTTGCATGCACACCATAGGAGTGTTAGAATGCTCAAAACCCATCAGAATTTCCACACACATGGTAACGAAGATTTATTGAACTGACTGAATTTAGTGAGTAGTGGCTGGTGACCCATCTCATTGAACATATGAAGCACTTGTTCATTAGTAACTTCATAAAAAGGGCCCACATTGGGAATGTTCAAGATTTGAGCAAACTTGTTCTTCGTGAGCTTGTATTTCTTGTCATTGGTTAACTGAAAAGTAACCACCTTAGATGTCTTGTTGAACACAGCAGTAGAATCGGCCAACGATAACCAAGTCATCAGAACTGAGAAAGAAGTCGTCATCACAGTTGATAATACTGAATTTGTGAGAGAGACAATCAGCATCTATAATTCTTCAGAGTATTTTGAGAATTCAGGTTGAACCTGATAGTTAGATCCTTGAATCTTCAATAATGGTTGAGGTGAAGCTTCATCAGTGGTTTGAGAAGGATCAACTGGAATATTTGTGGCCGCCATTGTTAGGGTTTGAAGGTTTGAGAGAACAGAGATGTATAAGAAGAAAGAATTAGGGAAAATCTTTAGCCTGGTCGCGTAAAGTTGGAAAAGATATCCCCAATGTCCTTTTATATTGTGATCCCAATTTTGAATTTGAAGCGGTTTGCAATAAATGCATGTCACGTGTAACCTTGAAAAACAGACGTGTAGCAGTAAAGATAGCCACGTCTGAAAAGTGATGAACACTTTTCCTGGAAAATTATGAAATAACCCAACCGTCACGTCAATCAATCGTTTCGATTGCCCCAAGAGGATTCGACTTGGGTTTCCATCGCAAGGAGCTCGCAATCGGTGGGAATCTCTAGGTCAGACGAATGAAATCCTCCCTTATTCAAGAAATGTGGTTGAATGAAACCATTATTGCCAAGTATTTAGAATGGAAAGACGAAACAGTGTTTTCCTTTGTAAAGGTAATGAAGTGTTTGGGAATATCTAAATTAGGATTCATTCTCGGGTCCACAAGCCTACTCAAGATACCTTGGGGGCCAAGGTGTACACCTCCTCAAATTCTATCATACATGGCCCAAAAAATGGTCATATAAGGTTTAAAGATTTATTTAGTAGGTCACATTATTCACCTAAAGTACAAAAAAAAAATTAAATGACCTTTTTAAATAAATACGCTAAGTTTGTAGGGTTAAAATGTTATTTTTCTTAAAAATAAAATAGGATAGAAATTGGTGGGTTTTTTTTCCATTAGCTCAATATTAAAGATAGGGTTCTTATGATTTGTTGGAAAATAAAAATTTAAAAAAAAAAAAAAAAGTAAATGTATTTTCTAAAAAAAACATAACAAAATAAATCTTTCGCCTTTTAGTACAGATAGTCAAAGTCCTTTCAATAAATAAATAAAAAGTTTGTGACCCCACCAAGCATTTAGAACTCACCAAACCAATTTTCCTGTTTAAATGCTCTTCCCGCTTCTGTACTCCATTTCCGTATCCTAATTAGTTACCGTTGTTAGCAACAAAACTCCACTCAATAAATCCAACGTCTTAAACCCACTTCCCAAGTGGAACACTTCCCCCAAAGCCATTATTTTCAAATTCAAACTCCCCTTCTTATTCTTTACCATCTATTACATCAAACACCTCATTCTTTCCCTTCTGAATCCATTCTTACCCTCTCAAATGTCGAATTCAAACAAGGATCCAATTCCACGACAACCTTCCTACAGTTCCCTGTATCATAATCCCCTTACAGAGCTCAAAAATGAAGCCAACAATGGCGTTTTGACCCTTCACAATGGTCAAAACAAAGAGAATTCGGAACCAAATAAAGTAAAGACAAACTCGGATCCTGTTGTAGATAAGGAGAATGTGGATTCCAACATAACAATTGGATGTAAACCTACACCAATCGCAAAATCCCGCTTGAAAGATAGGGCATGGAAACCATCTTCGTTGCAGCTGTGTATGCAGTTGAACGACCCGATTCCAAACTTCGGTTCAAGTTTCTATGAACCGATTGACTCCGGAAAAAACAATTCCGGTAACATTTGGGATTATTCCGATTCCGAAGCTGCTCCAGCTTCCTCATGGTCTACACTTCCGAACAGGTTCGTATTTAAGTTCATTTAGGGTATCGATTGAGAGTAATTCACTAAACTGTAACATTTTTGTATGTTTGTTTTCAGATCGTTGTTGTGTAGGCCATTGCCAGTGGACATTGGAAGGTGTACTTGTATTATCGTGAAGGAAAAATCTGCTGACGGGATTAATGGCGGAAGTGTATACACTCTGTACACTAATGTATGTAACTTTGTTTACTCTAACTCATGAACTTCTTAATTAGACTACAATGTTGTTGATTTATGCTTAATTACTTCTCTTTTTCTTTGAAATTTCATAGGAAGGCCAAGGAAGACAAAATCGGAAACTTGCTGTAGCTCATCATAGACGTCACAACGGAAGATCTGAGTTCATAATTGCTCAGAATACAAAAGGGATCATATCTTGCGCAGATGATAGTTATGTCGGAAGTGTAACTGCAAATCTCTTGGGTTCCAAATACAATATCTGGGATCAGGGTCGACGTCTTAATTCCATGACTAAACACTCTAAACTTCTAGCAGCAGTATCGTAAGCTTCATTGCTATCTATAAACTATGAAGACCTTATCATCTTACCTTATAAGTTATTTACTATTTTTTTTTTAAATAAATTCAAAACAGATTTGTGCCTACGATAGCAACATGGACAGGAAGCTACAGGAGTATGAAAGCGTGGCTTCCTAAACATCAGTCTATGCAACTGAAGAATACAACTCAGGTTAGAAGATTATAGATTAAATATACCATTTTTAGCACTATATTTACATAATATGAATTTTAGTATGATTTTGATTTTTTTTTTTTTATTCAGGCTCAGCATATAAATGGATTACCTACGGGTTGGGAAGAGAGAATGGATAGAGTACATCAGCTGTTTTCAAAAGTTCCATGCTACAACAATGTAAAGTTTGCATATATAAACATTTGAATAAAAATAGAAAAAATTGAAAGTACAATGTTGTAGTCGAAGGAAATAGAAATAGGATCCTATAAATAAATAAACAAATAAAAGTACATTATTATATTCTGCATTAAGCCCTTTTAACTTTAAGAAAATATGAACATTCTTTTGAAAAACTATGTTTTGTTTTTTCAGATCACAAAGCAATATGAGTTGGACTTCAGAAATAGGGGAAAATCAGGACTTAAAGTCCAGAGTTCAGTCAAGAATTTCCAGTTGACTTTGGAGGTAAGTAAACTAAAAAATGTACAAAATGAATCGAAGAAACTGAATGACAAATATTGATTTGTGTTTTTTATTCTGTGTTTAGAAAAATGGAAAACAAACAATTCTACAACTTGGGAGGGTTGGAAAGTCGAAGTATATGATGGACTACAGGTAAAAGCATATCAAGATTATTTTAAAACTTTAAATCTTCATTTCAATTTTTGATTACTCAAAAGTTTTTATTCATTACAATATTTTTTTTTTCAGATATCCGTTGAACGGTTATCAAGCCTTCAGCATATGTTTGGCTTCTATTGATTCAAAGCTTTGTTGCACCATGTGATGATGATATTATGATCATTTCTTATGAATTATGATGTCTCTCATTTTTAAATATTTTCTTAAGGCAATTAACTAATTTGTCTATTGCATTTTCAATAATAATAATAATAATAATAATATTTATATTATTATTATTATTAGATGTGGGACTAGGAAATTATTATACTTGGTTTGGAAGTAGATTGTTTGAAAAAGAGAGTCAATGAAATTAGCCCATACTTCCAGTCCAGTTGGCATTTATGTATGCAGCTGAAGTGAATAAGTCAGAGTATCGTTGCTAGCTACCAGCCGACTAACAAATGTAGCCATTATACAAGACATTAAGTTTTGGTACAGCTTTTCAATCAGTTTGGTAGGGTTGATTATCCATTGAAAATACGTGGTCTCCACAAAAAAAATTATTAAATTAAAAAAAATGGCTCATTTTGTCATTTTTCACTTAAATTTAAAATGGGAAGTGATTCGTCCACAACAATTTTTGGCATACACAACAATTTATGCATTATAGAGTTGTACAATACAACACTTTAAAGCATAAATTGTTGTATACGGAGAAAAAATGTTGTGTACAAATCGAGTTCCTATTTAAAATACGCTCTAAATTTGTTGAGTCGAAATTAATGTTTAAACACAACGAAATCAAATATTAAGTGCCAAAAAGAGCTACAAGATGAGGTAGGGGTTTGGCAACACTAGTATTCTAGTAAGATTAAAATCGAATGTCGTTTTAATGTTCTTGTAATGGTTTAAAGTTGTTAAAAGATGTTTACAAGTGAACCAAAGTAATTATTTATCTTTTTTTGGAAACAGCAAATATTTTATATATAAAGTAAGTTATTTGACATTTTCTCTAAAGATAATTAAGTTATTTGACATTTTCTCACTTTTTTTTTTTTTTAAACAGCAAATCTAACCTACTCTTATAAACTACACATTAAATCCACCTATGTCCACGACGGGACTTGAACCCTCAATCTTAAAGAGGGAGGGCAACACCGGATACCGCTAGGTTATAAGCCCTTTGGTATTTTCTCACTTAAACATAAAATGTTCCTAATAATATTATTCAAAATAAATGCACTAGTATAACGTCAATCCAAAAATACCTACTTACTGATCTATTTTTAATTTTTTAATTCTTCAATTTCTTACTTTATAGTTTTTAGTGTTACTTTATATTTTTAAAGCATTATTCTAGTGGAGGAAGCACGATGTTTTTGAATAGAAGAAATAAACTAAAAACTAAAACACGAAAAATATAAAATTTTAAAAAAAAATAAATAATAATAATAATAATAATGAAAGAAATGAGGCTTTTAGACGCCTACAACATTTTTATTGGTTTTCTTTTTTCAGGAAACAGAAAGAAATATAGAAATAAATGAATGTCTATGCCTCATAAGTATATCTACAGTTACAAATAATTTTTAATCAGATAATTTAAAAAAGAAAAAAGGAAAATGAATTGAACTCTCATCTAAAAAGACGATATCATATCAAGTCAAATAGTAAAACCCTAAGATCATCGATGAAGCTGCTCCGATCGCCATCACCGTCGCCGCCGTTGAAACTGCACCGATCACTATCTCTATTACGAAAAATCATTATCGATCACCGGTTCAAGCGTCAAGCGTCAAGCTCGCATTGGAACATAGGCGCAGCAAATGAATTCAAATCGGCGAACATATTGTCTTCACCTTCTGCATAGCTATTGGATTCCTGAGAGCAATCAAAATACGTCTGTATATCGTCGGGGAAGCTTCGCCGTGGCAGATCTGATTCCGGCGGTGTCGAAGGGGAGTCAGCCACCGAGGTCCTCTCGAGCATTTCCTTAAACTTTGTGGACTGAAATAGCAGCCCTAAGGCGGAGGAAGCAGTATTACCTCCGGTAGAGCCACGTGGTGGCGGAGCTACGCTGGTGGTTGTTTCGCCGGAGCTTGAGCTTTCCGGTTGCTGGTTTTGGTTGTTGCTGTTGTTGTAGTAGGAGCTTAACCCTGGATCTTGACTACTAGCGGCGTCTGGTAGCGGATTGAGGTCAAAGTTTGTTTGACTTCCGTTTGAGTTGTTGGGATCTTTTTGGTCGGGTCTTAACCACTTAATGTAACGGCTGAGGTCAAAATTTGTAACGGCGTTAAGTCCTCGGTATTCTATTGCTGCCATGTCGTATGCAGTCGCAGCTTCTTCTTGGGTAGCTAGTGACAATATGACAAAGTTTAAGGGTATATCAGAGATAAATTAAATTACAACAACAAATACATTTTAGTTAAATTATAATTTTGGTCCTTCATTATAGCTGTTTTTCGATTGTGGTCCAAAATTGTTTTTTGTCATGTTCCAAGTACAATTCTCTTTGTCTGTGAATATAACGTACTTTTGTAATTTTGGTGCTAAGAATATAATCTTTTTTTTTTTTTGAAAGAGAGACCAAAAACATTATAAACCTCATATATATGGACCAAAATTATAAAAAAAATTTACTTAAAGTTTTGAATTCTAACCTATAGAAGAATCATATTTTTAGTCGATTTATATTTTGATAAATATATTTAAAATCAACATGTAATCTACTAATGTAGTCTTTTTACAACTTATAATCAAATAAAACCAAAGAGAATCCACTTTAGTTAAAAGGGTTTACTATTTTGTTAATATAAGTTTCTAAAAACTACTTTTAAAAATGTATATATCACTTTCAGATAAATATTATCCTCACGTTACCATATAAATGATTTATATAAATAACTTTTATATTAGAATTCACTTCATTTTTAGAGACTTTTACATTTTACATGAATTATTCTAATAATGAAAAATAATTAATTATCAAAATAAATTCTGTTAGTCTAAAAATCCCAATTGACTAAAAGAAAAAAATAAAAATCTTACAAGTATTAATCCTTTTATAGGTCCCTTGCACCGACTAAAAGGTTAGCTTATTCGCTCAACCAACATAAATTTGGCACTTTGTATTCGTTTTACTTTAAATAACAAATTTGCATTTAACAAAATAATAATTTACTTATTTTTGACATGAATAATTTTTGTACATATTATACATCCGGTACCTAAAGGCTAAACCATTTGATTTTGTGTGGAAAGTTGAATTTATTAGTATCAATTTAGAAATATTGGCCTAAAATGTGGAAGCATACGTGTGATAGGAGATAAAGGGATTTTGGTTGAACAACAATATTTGGTGGTATTGAATTCAAACTTATATGTGCATGAAATATTTGGTGGACAGTTGGGACCATGGAGTTGACAAATTTATTTCAAAACTTTCATTTTTCTTAATGTCACTAACTTAGCAGTTGAAGGTTGCTCATCTATCAACCAACTACATCTACTTTTTATTTTTTTTACTTTTATTAATCTTTTAATTTGTATCAAACTATAATTAAAAAAACATCGAAAAACATTACGAATAAGAAATAAGAACCTAAAAAACAACATTGTTTCAAATTAAAAAAGGAAAATAACAAAAAAGCTAGTTTGAGTCTGGTTTCAGGCTGTTACGTACTGCATATAACCGTCAGTTATATTCTGAATCAGAATATAATTGCTTTCCGATTTTTATTTTTATTTTTATTTCTATTTATTTTCAATCCATTTCGAATCTGATTTCAAGCCTGACAAATTTTTATTTCTATTTTTATTGATTTTCAATCTATTTGTGTTTTTTGAAAAATTTAAAAACTATATTATAAGTTCATAAAAATTGACCATAAATTATTTATTGCTTATGTGTATGTGTGTGTATAACTTTTTATTTTTTATTTTTTATGTTGAGATCATTTTTTTATTCAAAAGGCCCTTTTCTTTTGATGGAGATGTTTAGTGGTAATAACAAAAATAATGACTACTATTTTCATTGTTTTACTTCCAAAAGCAAACTCTTTCATTTGTTTTATGGTTTTGTAGTTTTCACTTGTACGTATGCAAGTTTTGATTTAATTTAATGACAATAACTTAAAAGATTAATAAAAAAAATTAAAGTTACAATCGATTAACATAAATAAATATTTACCGTATGTTCCAAGATAAAGATATTTGTTGCCAAAAACCCGTCCAATTCGAGCCTCCCATCTACCATTATGATGGTGTCTACATATTAAAGTACCATAATAAAATTATGACAAATTTATAGACAAACATTATAATAATTTTACTATTTCAAAATCAAATTCAAAATCAAAAGGACAAAAATAATACCACATTTGTTGCAAAAATACCTTGCTACACCTCTGTATTTTGAAACTCCTCGTGAAAAACCGCTACTTTTTCTATTAAAAAGAAAAATAATATATTATCAGAAAAATAATAAACAAAAATGCAAAATAGAAGACAAAAAATGAAAAAATGATAATTATTACCTTCTTAAAGATCCAATATACTCCTCTTTTGACAAACTATCCATTTCTCGAAGCTCCTCTTCGTATGTTTGGAGCTGTTATATATTGATTTGTGTAATTATAAATAATTAGGAAATTAAATTCAATTAAATGGAATAAATTTTAAAAATGGGTAAAAATATTACTGGAAAATTGAGGATGGTGTCTTGTCCCCAATACTTCAATGCTGCCAAGTCATATGCATGTGCAGCGGCTTTTTCATCGTCGTAGGCCCCTAAATATCACGAATTTGGATAAGTTTTGCTATGAATGTTGAAATTTTTTTGAATTCAAAGAACCCAATTTCCCACTTTTTATAATATAATTTATTCATATCAGTAATGAAATTGGAAGGATATACATGAATGATACATCCAGATATTTATGTGAATATGTGAATGCGAACCTTACCTAGATATACTGTAGGAATCGCCACCATTTTCATGAAAAATCAATCCAAAACGAAATTCGAATTAGGAATTTGAATAGAAGAATCGAAGAAACGAACTGGAACCAGGAATTAATAATAATTACAAATTTGAGAAGAAAGAAATGAAAACCTTGTCGTCCTTTTTTGTTTTGTGATTCATTCCAACAATTCTTATCCCACAAATGAGCTTCATATCGACCAGTCCATCGATGCCTTCACATGTTGAATGAAATGAAATCAAATTCACTCTCTAAACGACTCAA